ATCATTTTAATTGCGAGAAAGCAAACAGACAGACAGACACACAGACACACACGACACACACACACACACACACACACACACAGACAGGCAGACAGACAGACAGACAGACAGACAGACAGACAGACAGACAGACAGACAGACAGACAGACAGACAGACAGACAGACAGACAGACAACAACACACAAACAAAAACACTACATGTATGCGATAGTGAATATATCCTAGCAACATCATTTATACTCAGGAATTCTTTTGTTGCGCACCATGCAACAGCATGCGTATTTTCAAAACATATTCCTAAAATAAATCATATGAAATCAAATAAAACCACGATAATTTGTTTGCAGAAATTAGTTGAGAAAAGTATCACCAACAATAAATAAATATCTTTTTGTACGGAAGTGTTTGTTCCAACACTTTGAACAGAAGCACGTGGCGTAGAACATAGATAAAGCGAATTTGTACGGAATACTAATTCCCAACATTGTTTTAGTACGTTTGTGTTTACTGAAGAAGAATTCATGAAGCTTCACAAACAAAATACAACATCTTCTATTTTTTTAATTTATCACATTCGGTGTCATTGTTTAATACTCCTAATAGATGATTTGTGGATTACATGATGATATATGTGATTCAGTTACGTCAGCAATACTACAGCCTCGTTCGAAGTTCGTGAATGACACGAGTCGTCAAAAGCTTACATTTACCCTAGTGTGTACTACTCATTTCCATGTGTTTAATGCTATGAGATTAATGTTTACTATTTAGTTCTATATCAAATGCACGCTTGAGAACTATCTTAGCAGTTTTTACAACAAGTAACTTTGAACAATGCCGACAAAATGGCGAATGATTGGGAGTATTCGGACAATAATACCACGTGACACTAAAACCCGTAAATAGTCTATTATCTTATATAACTGTCACTTCTTTCTGGGTGTTGTCAACATTTCTATGATTGCAAAAGTCATTATGACAGTAAATTTGTATATCAACCAAAATTTGAAATAAATGATCCCAGTAAATATAACGTTTAATATACGTTAATGTAATTCTTAATCCACACAGTCTAATATATAGTATCGTATTTTAGTCACATCTGCAAAAGATAAAATACATGTGTTGTTAAATGTATATTATTGGTGTGTGTTTGTAGAACATTAAATACAAATTTTAACAACATCTATAAAATTGCAAAAAAAATAACTAAAATAGTTCAGTTGGTGAAGTTATAAATAAATAATGAGCTGTGAATCCCTCATAGTTTCAATTCTTGATATAACGATCGTTACTTCGTTTGATTAAAATAAAAATAAAAATAAAAAACAACTACAGCTATTACCTAAATGATAATATTATTAAAATTGTAGTTGGTCGTAACGGAGAACCGCAAGGATTCAGAGAGATTGTGGGTTCGATTCAAAAGAGACTGCAGGATAAATAAAAAAACAGTATACGCTGCTTTACATAATCCGGATTTAGGTTCGAAAAAGACTGGTTCGTACATGCATTTCTAATTAGTACGAACTCAAAAAGGGAGTTTAATTTGTGTATACCATCCAGAAATTACCAGTATTATGATAGTCTATTATAAGAAATAACAATTTCTCGTTACACTCACATTAGTAAATTAGTAGTAATGTCTTGTGTTACTGAATGACAACACTCTTAAGAAACTGTTTTACAGGATTTGTTTTAGAACAAATTAGTTAAATCTTTTTCAATTAATTTCTATATCGTAAATATCGTTAAAGATAGAAGCAGGATTACCAATGCGAAGTCATTGTTTGTCACAGAAAACTTTTCTGTTACACGGTGCATGTATTTAATAATATAGACAAATATATTCACCCTAGCATCAATGTTGGAAAAAATGGGACCTACCTTATATCATTCACTTTCCAGCTTTCTCCAAAGTCGTCAACATCATCAGTCAGGGATCCGTCAGGTTTCTGGAAATCATTATCCATATCACCATCGTTATTACCCATAAGTCCACACAGCTTGCCCGAATACTCGGAGCCGAATATTGATAAGTTTAGCACATGCTTGGTTAATGTCCATTTCAGAGTAATTTTCGTCTCCTTGACGACAAAACTCAATGTTATCGTCTTATTGTCTTTGACAGTCTGTATAATTTTATCTATAGCGATTTTCCCGTCATTTCTTCCCTGAAACACAAAAACGCCTGATATCACAAATAACAAATTTTGGGAAAATATTAAACAGAGCCGCAATGTTTTGATAGGAGTTTCGTTGATTCAATATGAACTTCAAATAAATGTACGTGCTGCCGTCTGTCGATATTTTCATTTATAATTACTCATCAATTTGTCCACGTATTGCTTTGTAAAGTCATTTAAAATCAGTTTTCAAAATAGTGTGTACTGTGTGTTTTCAAATAAGTTGTTATAAGAAGTTACATACACTCGGTCTGGGCCATATGTTTTTATTTTAAACTGTGTGCACTTTTTATTCGTTGTGTTAATTTACATATATTAAGTCGCGACCAAACATGTGACATTGCCACACTACTTGCGTAACAAAAACAGTTCATTTTTACATAATGATTATTGTATAAATTTGCATAAATTATCCAACTACAAAATATGAATAACGAGAGTTTCGACAATTTACTATTCACCATCAATGTTTCAGTTAAGTGCCCACTACTGTAATTTGAAAAAGATGTCCATATAGTGGCTGCCGCCCTCTAGTGACAGATTTGAATAATGCAGTCTTAGGATGTGAGGAGAGTATCACAAAACAAACATACAGAATGGCTGCACCTTCTTGGTGATGTGCCATTTCGCATTGAAAATAGTTTCTGGTTTCATAGGTTTTAGGCATTTATAGACTCCTTTTGTTATTTGGGGATTTGTATTTACACTAATATTTGTTTTGTGTTGCATATTTGATACTTTCACTAGTTATTAATTCGGTCTTTGAATGTGACACGCCCTTTTGCCTTATTGCTGTTTGGTGGCGCGTGAAAGCTGTTTTCGTCATGCCACTTAGAATCACGAATATTTTCGATTATCCGAAGGCTGTACAGGTTGTCATTGAGGTAAATATGTGTGTACATTGTATCCTTTGCATTTATACTATTTTTTTTAAGATTTGTTTTGTCATCAAGGAATTTAGGTGTCTCAGCAGATCGTTCAAACGATCATGTGTTACCGGTGTTC